TTTTTCAAAAAATGGCCGGAAGTCAACTTTTTGAAATCACTATTCACGCCGGAAAAATAAAAATATGGTCGAAATTTGGTGTAACCTGGATGGGTAGGCTCGGAATTGCAAGGGAAACAATCTGTCCTGAAGAGTCGTCGCCAAAAAATGGCCGGAAGGTGGCCCACGCAACGTTGGAACTTCGCCGGAAAATTTTCTTTGGACAGCTACAGTACCGCCAGAGATTTTCACTGGGATTTGGTCGCCGGACAGTGACTACTCTTGTGGTAGTGTTGGATTTTGTGCACAACACTAACCGAGACAAAGCAGACGCAAAACAACTTTGAAAGTCGCCGAAAAAAAAGGGTTCCGGTGACTGATTTTACTTCCCGAAATCGCTGGAATTTATGCACAGCGATAAATCTCTCACGATAGCTCTGATACCATGTGAGAAGGCACGGGAGAAAATATGATATATTGATATTGTGTGTGATGCAATACAAGATGTGCTATTTATAGCTACTCTATACAAAGGGGATACTACTCCTATTCCAATGTGGGACAATTACATAGCTATCTCTAACATTAATATTGGTGTTTTGCACTCGTCAACTATCATAAGTGTGACCCAAACTGCGCCATAGTCCCAATGTTAATGAATCCTTAAGCCTATCTCGTACCAATATTAAATAATTCACTTGTTTAAGAAAAACTACAAATTCTCTAAATCTCACACTTATCCTATGTGTATAACTATTATGACTAATATAAGTGCCAATTGTAAAACGAAGCAACAAATTCAATGACATACAACAAAAGAAATGCGCAAAAATATAAATTACTGTAATTACCTGGCGGAAAGTTAGAAACTAGAAATTCTCTAAATCTAACGCTTATCCAAGTACAACTTTTTTGTATTGTTACTTATCCGAGTATAACTAGTACGAGTAAAATAAGTGCCAACTGAAATAGAAAGAAAAAATTTAATTACATTCTATAAAAATTAAGTAATTACCTTGCAGCTAGTTAGCAAATCCATTTTAACACGCCTCCAGATGTTAATCAAAACGCAAATGATACTCCGATGTTGAAAATACTGAATGTGTGACCTAATAATAAAATCACCCAGAAAAAACATCAATCCAGTTTCCAATTATTACAAGAAAAATTAAATTTCTAAGAATTTACTTTCAACAAAATTCCTTGCTAAAAATCAAACGCAAAAAATGGCAATTCATTATAAATTGAAATATTGATCAAGAAAACTGGCGAAAAAATTACCGCGGTGAAGAGATTAAAGGATGATAATTGATTTCTATTAGGGTTTTTCAGCAAATAGCTGCTTCACGATGATTAAGCTTCTCTTTTTCTTCTATTTCAGAATTCAGAACTGTTTTTGGATATTAATTACGAAGCTGTAATCGGATTACTACCAAAAATTACGGACGTATAGTTGATTATCAAATCCGGTTTTTTCCATGCAAACAAATCCGGGTTTGGTTCCTCTAATCTCACGTATACCTGGCCGTATCATGCTCTTAATTTTCTTCTTTCCTTTTTTTCTTTTGTGGCTTGGGTTGTCACGTTTTTTTTTTCAGAAATAAATAGACTAAACTGACCGTAATTAATTGATTATTAAGTTTTTTTAAATAAAATCGTATATTCTTTCTTTTAAATTAATAAATAATAGGGTAAGTTTTTTGTTTTATCAAAATAAGCTAGAAAATTATCGAACTGTGCCGATAAATTTATGAATAAAAATATATGTCATATATTTAAAAAAAATATTCCTAGGGCCTTGGAATTATGGAAATAGTTATAAGCCAACGAGTAATTAATACCGTAAGTCTCAACTCCCAAACTTATTTTGTTACTCATGTTGAAAATAAATTAGTTCCGCTATTTTGAGTAGCAAGCCACAAGGTATCCTAAAGATCTTGAATAGCAAGTCACAAAGTATTCCAACGATTTTGAGTAGCACGCAATAAGAATGGATATTTTTTCGCTCGTATGATTTAAATTTCACGTGTTGAATACTTAATCTTCTAATAGACTCTAGTGTTCAGTCTCAACCTAATTAGAGTAATATTTTTTCACTTGTGTGTTTTACATTTCTCTTGTCTTTGCTTAAGTTATTTTGCGGCTGCAATAGAATTGTGCGATAGATCTTATTCTGGTCATCTTTCATGTCCCTTGATTTACCCTCTTAAACAATAAAAAATGACAAGAGAGTTTGGTCAAATCCTATACAAGTAGGCATGTTGTCGAATTTTAACTTCTACTATTAGTGATTTTTGCATAACATTTTAAAAAAATACCAAAAAAGTAATTGAATCGTATTGATACCGAAGAGAAATCGAGATGATTTTTATGGTTTCAAAAAATCTAATTTTAATTATACAATTTAGAATAATAAAAAATTGATTTGATAAAAATTTTAAAAGATAACCGACTGAACTGAACCATTAATACCCTTAAGAAACACCTTAGCGCGATTTACTTTTTTGAGTGATACTCACCCATTTTCTAATCGAAATCTTGTTGGCGTTAGTGTTAAATTCTTTTTCATATAATTCAGTATTTAATTTATATGACATTTTTTTCTTTTGAGGTATTCAGAATATGTTTTAATCTAAAAAACTCAAGTTTATTAGATTATTCATATGTTAAAGTTTGCTAAGCACTATAGTTTTTTTATTGAACTAATATTATAGCGTTCATTCGAATATCATTATATAAAATACAAAAATATATAATAGTAATATTTTTATATTTTTTAATCTTATCATAAAAAAAGTACTTGTATATGCACCAATAATTTTAAACTTGTAACGTCTAAATAACATATTTTTTTAGTAATAGCAAAATATAATTTTGATGTTCAGCTTAGACACTAGTAACAAGAAATGAAGATGTAAATATAACATTGAGTATGTAAAGTTTCTCATAAGGGTGAGGATTTTAATATCTGCGTAATCTATATCTCAAGCTTACATTTATATAATAAAAAATATGTAGATAATGAGAAGAGAGGTGATTAATGATTTTAAGTACATCATATTCTTTGTATATCTTTTATTTTAAGAAGAACGAAGGTGGCTTTTCTTTGATATTATTTTATTTTATGTTACTATATGCTTTAATGTTTCCCTTGTTTGTGTTCGTTACAACTAAGAAGCGATCATGGTTTTACTGCCTCACAATTGGAGGAATATTTAGAGGAGTTTATTTTAAAGATTAGCCAATTGGAATAATATTAGTAGTGTTTGATTAATATTGATTTTTTATTTTTTTTAATAAACTGGATATTTGTTTTAATAGAAAACAGAACTAGGAATTACAATAGGCATGATCTTGTGGATGATTTCTAGTAGATAATAATTTATGTATTGCATGCTGATTATCAATTTTTACTAGATGGCTACAGGTAGTATAGAGATAGTCTTTACATAAACATTACCACCTTTGTCTGCACATCCGGGTCATAACAAAGGGTGGAGGCCAAAACAAAAATTCTATATTATTGAAAGTAGAAAGGGATCTTACATGTTTTGCCAGCTGGTGGGCTAATCCGTTTCCTTGTCTGAAATTATGCTGGATCATCATTGTGCCCATTTGAGATAGAAACAACCTGCATGGGCAAATAATAAAGTCGTAAGTTATGCATCCTTCATTGATGAATTTAATTACCTGTGCGGCGTCCTTCTCTATCTCCAATGGTAATAAATTCCTTTCCTTTGCAATACATAGTCTTTAGTAGAGGACCATGAGTTTTGAGTGGATTGGTGCTCTTGAAATAATTTTAGAAGTGAAACTTAAGGTCTAGTCTCCATTTTGATTTCTAAAAATACCTCCTAGGCCGCCAGTAGCATCATTCCTATTGAAGGCTCCGTCAATGTTTAGTTTGTACCAATCAGGACGAGGAGGAATCAAGTAGAATTTTAATTCTATTTTTTTATCCCACTTGGATTCACGTTCCGTTAGCAACTTATACTCTATGGCTTGGTTCATGGTCCATTTTAGGGAGATGATATTGGAGTTTTGTTATTAATATTATCATTGTTTCTATTTAACCAAATATTTCATATAATGAAAAAAAAATTGTTCCATGATAGATGTTTATTAGCTAGGTGAGGATTTTTTTCTTTCATGTAAAGTAGCCAATTGTTCTTATTTGGTTGGAAGTTACTTGTGTTAATACCTAATTGATTCCAAAAGATTTGTGCAATACAGCAGTTAATGAAGATGTGACTAATTGTTTCTGACTCTTTTCGACATATAGTGCACTGATCGTTGATATTCATACTATGTGTGCTAGATAGCTTCTATAGGGTAACCTATAATGGAAGCATAGCCTTAAAAACTATTTTATTTTATTGGAGCAATGCATGTTCCATAACCATTTATAATCTACTAGAGTGGGCAGGTTATTCTCTATAAGATCGTAGCAAGATTTTGTTGAGGAGTACCCATCTTCATTGATGTCCCATATTAGGGAGTCCTTGCTACAATCTGGGGGTATGAAGCTGGAGCTAATTTTTTGTTGGATCTCCGGTGGGATATTGAAGGAGATTTTAGTGAGGTTCCAATTATTATTGGTTCTAATGTTACTAGTTATGAGGAAATTTTCTTGTTTGGTTAGAGGACATATTGATCGGGGCCAACCCTGCACCACTACAAAGTAGCGAGAGTGGGCGAAGCAGCTTTTACCCGAGAAGGTCGGGATCTATTTCCACAGGGAGCTAGAAATGGAATTGAGTTTCTATCTAAAATGGAGATGCGTAATTGCTCTTGATTGCACTTCTAATCATAGTTGGTTTTGATATTACTTCTAAACTTATACTACTAAGATGCTAAGTTAAGCTAAGAGTAAGATACTTGAAGGGTTGTCTAAATAATTAAAAGGCACTAGGGAAGTGACTTTCTCCTAGGTGGATACTTGACGGGTTCTCGAGTTTAAGGCTAGGTTGTCATGTTGAGGATTATGGTATAACCAATGCACTGAACTTCTAACTCTATACCTCTCGGTAGTTTGAGTGATTTTGGCCTAATTGACTTTCTTAAGACCAATTGGGTATGATAATTTGTGCAAGCAATGTAGGTTCAAGTCGGGTATTACTATCTCTAGGTTTAACCCTTTAATTGGGGCTATCAATCTCTTGAATACGCCTTAATTCCTTATTGGACTAATTTTCCTAGACTCAAGTTCTCTTTCTCAAGAAGAACTCAAGTCAAATAGGCACAAATTAGTATTTGCAACCACTAATTCAACATTAAGATCATAAATTAGTCCAAATATCAAACACTCATAGACATTCAAGCCTTAAAACACAAGATCCATCAAATACTCACACTAGGGTTGAGCCACAACCCTAGCTAATGGGTCTAGCTACTCATAATAATAGAAGAAAACAAAGAAATAGATGAAGAAAAATCCATAATATTTAATTACAAGCTAAAACTTGAAGATTCAATGATAAAATTATTCTAAAATTACTTAAAATGGTAAAGGAACAATGTTCATGAGCGCATCCCAACGTTATAATACAACTAATTACCTAAAAATGGGAAAAGAAACTATTTATACTAGGCCGAATTTTTTGGACAAAAATATCCCTGCGGAGGTAGTGCGGACCGCACAAAATCGAGTGCGGACGCAATGAGGCTTCTTGGTTTAAAAGTCTGCTCTCTGAACTTGTCCACTACGGGCCGCACACAATGCACCGCAGCCGCAGTGGCTTTTGTTGCGGTGCGCATAAAAAGGACCGCGGACCGCATTGGCAATTAGCTCCAAATCTTCAACTCTCTGAACTCTTCCTTTGCGGACCGCACAATATCAAGTGCGGCCGCGGTGAGCCCATTGCAGTCTGCATGAAATGCTTTGTGGCCGCATTGCTTGAATGTCTGAAATGAGCACTTCTCTGAGCTTCCTCACTGTGGACCGCACAGAATGGAGTGCGGCCGCAGTGGACCTGTTGTACTGTGCTTGGACTTGTTCTTGGTACTTGTGCATGTTTTACTCCTTTTTGAGCTGGTTTTGATGAATTGTCACCTTGTTGACCAAAGCCTGCAAACAAGTACAACATGTAAGTCTTTGGAACTATTTTGTACATATTTTTAATCAAAACTCAAGTAAGAAGGAGTGTAAAATTCATCATAATCCCTAGTTATCAACTCCCTCAAACTTAAGTTTTTGCTTGTCCTCAAGCAAACAAAATAAGACTCACCCCTTAAGAGTAAATTCTAGAAAATTCGGCTGACCTAAAGTGACCTCATCTAGCCTCAAGTGGGACTAACAATTGCCCCCAATTCAAACGAATCATTAACAATATTCAACCTTTTAAGCACCATGGATTTAGTGCGACACAAGAGTATCAAGAGCTGACTCAATACATCAAAGAAACTCTTTCTACTACCTTGATCATTGTGGAACCCAAACTCATTCATCCTCAACTCTTCCTAAGCAAACCTCACTTTTAGGATTGTAGCACTCAGAACGAGGTTAATGGAAATACAG